GATATTTGGTTTTACTGTCGACTGGAACTGAAATCAAATTAATAAATATAAAATGATAAAAATAGTTGATACTGGTATATGATATCCAAATTTATATTTTATATATTTTATGAATTTGTATACAAATACAATTTATCTGTAGGTTTAGTTGTACATAATTGACTTTCATTGTATCTAAACTGTTGATAGTGGTATTATACCAGTAGCCATACAGATATGTTGCACGGGGACATTGATGTGCCCTAATTTGCCTTTAACACCACAATTTTCTTTTCTTTTTTCTACATGTATACTGAATCATTTTTTAAGGGAAAATTTACTGAAGATAATTATTCTAGTAGAAATACCTTTCTATCATAGTTTTTGTTAATTTTGTTAAAAAAGGGTTTTAGCAAATTTCCCCCTCGTGGTGAAAAAAGGTATGAAACAAAATTATAAATATTACCGATGCAAGTGGTGGGTAATGCTTTTTAATTATTATTTGTCAACATTATCCAAAATCTCAAATAGAAATTATTTGATGTAAACAGGACAGTGCTGTAATGAAAGTTACTTCAGAATAAAATTTGATAAATTTAACTAATTCAAATATAGTAGTTAAAATGTAGTATTAAATTATATGTAAACCATATTGATTTCATAACTATTCAAAATGTGTTGATTTCAAACTCCCACTTCCTAGGTTTTGTTATTTTTACCTGAACAATATTTTGCTGTACACTAAATCAATATCTGCTAAATTTGAGTTCATTCACTTTCATTTAATGGATGACGGAGATGTGTGTTAACAAGTGACAAACTCTAGTAGATGAACATTCCAGCGGTGAGATATTGTCTGTGGATCCGCTCGATTTTAAAAGGTGCTCTGTTCCGTTTAGCATTGTGAATTGTTGTATATGTAAACAACAGATAATCGTCCTATTCCAAGTTTGTGATTTGCAATGATTTCTCAGGAGTTTATATAATTTATTGATAATATGAGTTTTATTTTATTTTGTAATGATATATGTATGCTATTTCGTTGTATATTGTAGATCAAAACTTGACACAATGCCTATATATGGTAAAATTGATGTTGAGCCAAATGTTGCCTTATAAAGAGTTATATAATCTGATTATTTTGTTGTGTTTTGTTACATCTGTTACTGTGACCTGTAAATAACCTGTAATCGTCCAGTATTATCAAGTCGTTGCAAGAAGATTTTGATTGAGATAATGATTATTGTGTTATTATGGCTGTCCAGCTTAGTATAATCTTGGTTGTACAACTATGCTCATGAATCACCGGATTAGGTAACTTTAACAAGAGGCTTTACTGCTGTTTCCTGATAAAGAAAAACCTTTTGATCAGGTTGTCACAATTGTGTAAATTCTAAAGCACAAATTCAAATTTGTTCAATACTATTGAACCATAATGATATAAATCTATTTTAAAAATTTTGTTCCAAGAACAAAGTATAGCATTAAGGAATGATTCTAGAAGGACTCAGATTATATCTGAAATAAATTTTACTGAAGGAATATGTGGCCTTAAAAACAGTGACACAATCAGAATCCTGTATAAAAATGTACACTGTACAGTATACTGATTTTATGAACTGTAATTTTATGAAAGAATTAAAGTGTTATTACTTCATTGATCTCTTTCCCCCATTCCCCCCAACCCCCTCAATTCCCCATTCTGCATTTTGAAAGAGGTTTGCTATGATAGTAAAAATATGAAAAGTTATCTTACTAGTGTACCTGAATGATTATCAGTGTGTCTGCATGAGAAGCTGATGAAGAAACTTGAAATATTACTGAAGGTGAGAATCCTATAAGCAGCTCATTAGTAAGGTTATGTAAATGAAACTACTTAATTGGTTAAGTGGTTGATAGATCTCAAACTTTATTAATAAGTTATCAAAGTAATAGTTAACTAACAGTGGGTGTAATAAGTAATTTTGTGTGACAGAACTTGTCTCCTAAAATGCTGAAAGGCTGTAGTCACAGATAGATGTTCAGCTGTGGCCACTGATAAATAAATGTGTATGGTATCCACTGGTGATGCCGAGAGTTTCAGTTCCTTCTTAGCGTCATACTTTGTGAATGTATTAGACAGATACCTGAAGCAACTTATATTTTAGTATTCTCATGATTTTGTCTTACTCGATGTAACTCTGTGACAGATTTCAGCAATTTTGACAGCATTTTATGTGTATAGTTTACTTAGGATTAACTGTAAAAGCTACATGTAGGTGATAAAATACTGTAATTTTGTATCTTGTATCTTATAAGTCGTAAAATTCATAAAACAAAAGCAAGATTAATTGTTTGTTTATTATATTAAATAGAGCGACAGTTCATGTTAAAAATAAACAAATTGAAATATCTTATTTTGGTATTTATTAGCCCACCTCATGATGGTGGACTATTCAAATCATTCTGCGTCTGCTGTCCGTCTGTCATAAACAAATTTTGTTATCGCTATTTCTTGAAAAGGAAGAGATGGATCTCTCAAATTTTGGGTCAAGTCAGAAAAACAAAATGGCCGACAGACGGCCATCTTGCATTTTGACTTTGCAAGTTTATTATTGCTATTTCTTGAGAACTACTCTATAGATCTTTCTCAAATTTCATATGTAGGTTCCCCTTAGTCCCTTGTTGTGCCCGTTCGATTTTGGGTCTGATCAGAGAAAAAAAAAGACCAACAGATGGACATCTTAGATTTCAACTTTGAAAGTTTATTACCGTTATTTCTTCAGAACTACGGGATAGATCTTTCTCAAAGTTCATATTTATGCTTTCTTTGATACCTAGTTGTGTCTATTTGATTTTGGTACTAATCAGAAAAAACAAAATGGCCCACAAGCAGCCATTTTTAATTTTGACTTTGTAAGTTTGTTATCACTATTTCTTGAGAACTACTTTATACCACGGTCTTTCTCAAATTTCATGAATAGGTTTCTTTTGGCCCCTTGTTGTGCCTGTTTGGGACCTATCAGAAAAACTAAATGTCCGACAGACAGCCATCTTGGATTTTGGGAAGTAAAGATTGTTATCGCTATTTCTTAAGAAGTCCTGAACGGATATCTCTCAAATTTTATACCTATGTTCCTTTGGTCTCTCCTTGTGCTCGTTTGGTTTTAGGACTGATAAAAAAGAAACAAAATGCTTTCCAGGCGGCCATTTTGGATTTGGCAGGTAAAGGGTATCATCGTTATTTTTTGCCAAAGAATGTTCAAATTCTTATCATTAAGAGCAAAAACCGAGAAGTGATCCAACTTTCAAGGAGCAAATAAAGATCAAACAATGGTGGGTGCCAAGGTCTCTCTGGGATCTTTCGTATTTGTTTTATGATCAATGATTCAATAAAAACAACAAGAATGGCAAAATCTTCATTCATACTCAGGATCAATTTGAATCTGAAGGGACAAAACATGAACAAAATTGCAAATAAAAGGAGAGTATCGGACGTGAATATGTCTTACACATATCGACGAACCTCGCCTTGGAAATCTCTTGTAAGATTGTACAAAAACATAAATTACAAACCATTTTAAAAAACAACAAAAACATACCCATATGTTAACATTATTATAATCCAAACTCAAATTCAATAAAACTGTGGTAAAATATGAACGATTTCATAACTAGCGAACGGAGACGTTACTTTTTGTTTGGAACGCGACATGGTAGTTCGCAGAAAGGAAAGTTCAATTTTCTTATAAAAGGGACGTTTTTGAAGAGAGATCGGTCAAACATTCTTTAGAGTTCCCCAAAAATCACTATTATAGATATAGTATCACAACAAGACTGTAAACCTGTTTTGATAGGGCAAGGTTAAGAGTTATAAGCTTGGATTAAGATTTGGTTGATCAATAAGACATCAAAAAACGTTGTGGATTTGGATTCTTGTTAAGTTTTGGAGTGATTCAAAATAAACCGTCTTGTTTTTACGTTATGAAGATATCTACTGTAACAGCTTACATCTCATCTAAATTAAGCTGATCGAAAATAGCACATGAACAAATCCATGTGTATAGAACCCAGTAAATGTTATCTTTAAGAACCCGAGCATTATATACATCCAGAGTGTACCTCAGGTTTCCCCTTGTCATGTTTCATCAGATATATACGTCAATGACTTAACACGTCAGTTTCCATAATGAGAGGACGGTGTTCCGCCCGTTGGAGAAGTTGAGGTAGTGTAATATACAGATGTTCTACGAGAAGTCATTATATAGACGTTAAGGTAACTTTACAAGGCACAAACATGTTTTGTTGGTGTTTTTGTTACGTACATGCTTGTAGACAATGTGATGTTGCTTGATGAAGTCTGTGCTAATGTTTCACACTTAGTTTCACTGATGTAAAACCTTCTATCCGAGATCGATTTGGAAAAGTAAGGTATCTTAGTTCTCTTATCCTTGGAATTGATCGATGAACGGATGTATGGATGGACGGACTGACGTATTAATGGTAATAATTTCTCAAAACCCGATGTTTATACTCCAAGAATACAACAAATAAAATCACTGCAATCTATTTATAGGCTGAGTTGTCCGTGCTGTCATGTAAGTATGTTACCTGTTTGATGGAAATAGTGTTTATAAAAAAAGAGCTAAACGCGAAAATTTAAAGTCCAGTTTCTCAGTATCTCTCAGCATTCCTGGACTGCAGAATCTACAGGATGTCTTGTAAAGTGAAATGTTAAAGACGTCGCTGTCGGAAAAGTAACACGATGACATTTTCTTTGCGATTTTACATCTCTGACAAAACAATTTACGTGTGATATTTAGATGGCAACACTGTATAACTTTGAGCACGTACTCTGGTTATTTCTTAATCAAGATGCATGGATGTCATCGAAACATACCTATTTATCTGAAAATCTTTGTTACACACTTGTAACATTCATTTTCGCATCAATGTCCGGGAGGTTTGGAGCGGAGGCGGTTTGAATATACATATGTAAGTGAATATAAAACACAAAAGAAATAAAATAAGCCAGACATTAACATATTTCCCCTGATTTTAATACCTGTATAATAGTATATAACAAAGGTAAATTACAGTCAATCAAGCATATCGAAACATACCAGTGCCACAGACTTAAGTCCATGCCGGAACATACCAGAACCACAGACTTAAGTCCATGCCGGAACTTACCAGAACCACAGACTTAAGTCCATGCCGGAACATACCAGAACCACGGATTTAAGTCTGTGCCGGAACATACCAGAAAACGCGGACTGAAGTCTGTGCCGGAACTTACCAGAACCACAGACTTAAGTCCATGCCGGAACATACCAGAACCACAGACTTAAGTCCATGCCGGAACATACCAGAACCACAGACTTAAGTCCATGCCGGAACATACCAGAACCACGGATTTAAGTCTGTGCCGGAACATACCAGAAAACGCGGACTGAAGTCTGTGCCGGAACATACCAGAAAACGAGGACTGAAGTCTGTGTCGGAACATACTGGAACCACGGACGTAAGTCCGTGCCCGAACTTACCAGAAAATTAACAAAATCATCAACAACTTCAACTTTTAAAATGGAATTCAGTACCCGTATATTACGTTAAAATTGCATACAGTTACGCATTTGTATTCATAGAAGATGGACATTTTGAACTTTTATCAGAACGTACAACATGTGACAACATACTTAAAATGTTAAAAGTTTTTCAAAACATATAGCGGGACTAGAATTTCACAATTGTTACACGTGATTTATATTATAGAAACTGACCAACAATTACCAAGAACACTAGTAGTACACACATACACCAGCAAGTTATTCATACACATTGTACAACACTCAACTTAGACGAGTGTTCAAAAACAGCTAATAAGTACATTACCTGTATCCAATCGTGTATATAGGTATACACACGTGTACATTATAGGTATACACATGTGTACATTATAGGTATACACACGTGTACATTATAGGTATACACATGTGTAAATAATAGGCACATTATCTGTATCCAATCGTGTATATAGGTATACACACGTAAAAATTACCTGTATCTACACGTGTACATTATAGGTATACACACGTGTACATTATAGGTATACACATGTGAAAATTACCTGTATCTACACGTGTACATTATAGATATACACACGTGTACATTATAGGTATACACATGTGAAAATTACCTGTATCTACACGTGTACATTATAGGTATACACATGTGAAAATCACCTGTATCTACACGTGTACATTATAGGTATACACACGTGTACATTATAGGTATACACATGTGAAAATTACCTGTATCCACACCTGTACATTATCGGTATACACACGTGTACATTATAGGTATACACATGTGTAAATAATAGGCACATTATCTGTATCCAATCGTGTATATAGGTATACACACGTAAAAATTACCTGTATCTACACGTGTACATTATAGGTATACACACGTGTACATTATAGGTATACACATGTGAAAATTACCTGTATCTACACGTGTACATTATAGATATACACACGTGTACATTATAGGTATACACATGTGATAATTACCTGTATCTACACGTGTACATTGTAGGTATACACACGTGTACATTATAGGTATACACATGTGTACATTATAGGTATACACATGTGAAAATTACCTGTATCCACACGTGTACATTAACGGTATACACAAGTGTACATTATAGGTATCCACACTTATACATTACCTGTATTAACACGTGTACATTACCTGTATCCACACGTGTACATTACCTGTATCCACACGTGTACATTACCTGTATCCACACGTGTACATTCCAGGTAATCTGAACACCTACCACTTCAAAGTACTCTACGTATACAAGATATATTGATAGATAACTAACACTCAAATAATTATTCATGTTATCCAGAAATCATTTGTCCATTTTCATATTAATTTTCTCTGAATTGAATTTGGGGGAAAAGAAATGAAAAAAAAAATTAATTTACCATCAAGCTGTACATGATCATTATACAATTGTGTACAAGCAATTATCATATCACAATTCTAAATACCTGATACATGTTTTGCATAGGAAACAGAACTTTTCAACATCAACATTTTGATAAAACATTAAATCCCAATGCAAACACTAGATCATCAACGTAGATTTACAGCACAAGTAATAAAGAAGTGTTATTGATTAACTAATCATGGATTATCGTTCTTTGACCTTGGAGAATCTTGACTGTACCGAGTTAACAAGCACGACTAGAAATTATGTAAAAGTCATTGTTGGAGCAAAGACATCAAAAACGTTAGCCATGAAAACAAAAGAACCGACACAATGATAAAGTCATTGTATAGTGGCAGTGACACGGGGGACGAAGTATCCGATCAATCAGTATAAAGGATCATGTGATAGCCGATCAGTCCGAATAACGGATCACGTGATAGTCGATCAGTCAGTATAAAAGATCACGTGATATTCGATCAGTCAGTATAAAGGATCACGTGATAGTCGATCAGTCAGTATAAAAGATCACGTGATAGTCGATCAGTCCGTATAACGGATCACGTGATAGTCGATCAGTCAGTATAAAGGATCACGTGATAGTCGATCAGTCAGTATAAAGGATCACGTGATAGTCGATCAGTCAGTATAAAGGATCACGTGATAGTCGATCAGTCAGCATAAAAGATCACGTGATAGTCGATCAGTCCGTATAACGGATCACGTGATAGTCGATCAGTCAGTATAAAAGATCACGTGATAGTCGATCAGTCAGTATAAAGGATCACGTGATAGTCGATCAGTCAGTATAAAAGATCACGTGATAGTCGATCAGTCCGTATAACGGATCACGTGATAGTCGATCAGTCAGTATAAAGGATCACGTGATAGTCGATCAGTAAGTATAAAAGATCACGTGATAGTCGATCAGTCCGTATAACGGATCACGTGATAGTCGATCAGTCCGTATAAAGGATCACGTGATAGTCGATCAGTCAGTATAAAGGATCACGTGATAGTCGATCAGTCAGTATAAAGGATCACGTGATAGTCGATCAGTCAGCATAAAAGATCACGTGATAGTCGCTCAGTCAGTATAAAGGATCACGTGATAGTCGATCAGTCCGTATAACGGATCACGTGATAGTCGATCAGTCCGTATAACGGATCACGTTATAGTCGATCAGTCAGTATAAAGGATCACGTGATAGTCGATCAGTCAGTATAAAGGATCACGTGATAGTCGATCAGTCAGCATAAAAGATCACGTGATAGTCGATCAGTCCGTATAACGGATCACGTGATAGTCGATCAGTCCGTATAACGGATCACGTTATAGTCGATCAGTCAGTATAAAGGATCACGTGATAGTCGATCAGTCAGTATAAAGGATCACGTGATAGTCGATCAGTCAGCATAAAAGATCACGTGATAGTCGATCAATCAGCATAAAAGATCACGTGATAGTCGATCAGTCAGTATGAAGGATCACGTGATAGTCGATCAGTCAGCATAAAAGATCACGTGATAGCCGATCAGTCAGCATAAAAGATCACGTGATAGTCGATCAGTCAGTATAAAAGATCACGTGATAGTCGATCAGTCAGCATAAAGGATCACGTTATAGTCGATCAGTCAGTATAAAGGATCACGTGATAGTCGATCAGTTAGTATAAAGGATCACGTGATAGTCGATCAGTCAGTATAAAGGATCGATGCCTCATCAGTGGACAAATTAGAGCAGAAGGAATGCAGTTACAAAAATCAAAATAAAGCTCCTCATTGGCCAAATTCGACGTCATCACTATAGGAATTATCTCGGTATTAGAAGTGTCACATCAATATCTTACACGTTTTAGAAAACAATGACAGCCGTCATTTGTATAGAACTGTCTACCTCAACAAATCCTTACTTCACATGATACGTATATAACGCCCATTATCACAGAAGAATAGGGCATTGTTAAAATAAATTCGTTAACTGGAAACAATGGGGAAAATATAAAACTTCAAAAAGACAGGAAATTCTGAATAAAAACAAAATCTTTGTCAATTTTGTAAAAAAATTGTTTCTGGATAAAAGAAATTTAAGGTATAGCCTTGAAGACTTGTTACCAGGGCAAAACTGTACCAGTGAAGTCGACAAGTGTACCGTTGGTTTCTTCTGACATAGAGGAAAACACGTTAAGCATGCCTTGGACACTCTCAGTCGGTGAGACGGGAGCCGCTTGTCCACCCATATCAGTACGGACCCACCCCGGGTGGACAGCGACAGCAAGGATCTCATCCGTCTTCAAATCGATACTCTGGTTCTTCGTCACCATATTAAGTGCTGCCTATTAACAAATAAACAGAGATCGGGTCTACTACTGAAGATCGTCAAAAAATTCTATCAAAAGTTTCCGATTTTGTCAATTTGGGGCATCTATAAAGTTGCAGGATGAAAGTGTGTTGTAAATGTGTTTGACGGTAATAATATGGTAAAATATATTAAAGGCATTAAATACAGTTATCAAGTGTTTCAAAAACATCTTGAGCCTTTACACTTTCTTCAAAATTACTTCAGTCAGAACTACTTCTCTCCTCAGGATTGTATCTACCGAAAACTTTACATACCCTCCTCAAATATTCTTCGTACGAACAGGCTAACTTACGAAATATCTTACATACGGGGCTCCAGCCCTGAAGAATGTTTTATTATTTCTCGATAGAAACCCGTTACAGGTACTGACACACTTATCTCTACATAAATAATCTGTACATCACGTGACGGGTAACTGACGTACCTTTGATGCCCGGTACAGGTACTTACATACTTATCTCTACATAACTAATCTGTACATCACGTGACGGGTAACTGACGTACCTTTGATGCCCGGTAGGGGTATAGACCACCGGACTGGTTACTCTCCACTGACCCCAGTATGGACGACATGTTGACTAGTGCGGCTTTGTGCCAGGACATCCCTTTTTCCGATGATTTCTGGGCAGCGAGTTTCAGCAGCGGAACGAATGTCTGAAGTCGGACATGAGATTCAGATTAATTTATCATAGAAATCAACACAATGGTAGTTAGAACACATCATAATAAAACTATAGACATAGTGTGTACATTCATTGTATTTATGGTTCATACATTTAATAAATCCAAATACATTTCTCGGTTTTTTTTTTAAATGTTTGAATAATTCCTTATAAAAGAAAGAGGAATATTTTCGCCATAGCATTCGCCAAATAGCTCTTTTCATTCAGTACTGATTTGTGGATCTGCCAATTGTTGTCAATATGATCATTTCTGTATAATGTACTAAACGGTAGATGATACAGGAATATCTATGTAGTTGGAAACGATAGGCCACTAACAACATAACACCTATATGTAGAAACGACTTAATTTTGTTTCTCGCGTGTTCTCTGCTTCTCCATATCACCAGCATAAAGAGAACATGTTGCCTCCATTTAAATCAAATATTTAATATCTCAGACCAATAGATTTTACCGCTTTTTCCATTTCTTCGAATTCTCCAAAACTTGCTTCTCCCCTAAAACACTCCTTAAATTTTAAAACACGATCAACAAATCTGCCTGCAGGTCCGAGAATAACTGGCTATAAAAGATGGTTGACAATAGATTGGCTGACCAAGCACATGTAGTTTCGCCGTAATAGAACATAACGAAAAACGTCAACGATGTACAATCAATTGACAAAATTCTATCGTAAAGAGAAATGAAGTTCGACACTGAGCTAAGCGTAAAGCTTTCGGTTCGATTGCAGTTAACCGTCACGTGTAGGCTAAAATTATCCCTAAAACCAGGTGCTGAGATGGCCTTAGAGGCCACACACTGGATTATCTACCCTCGTACCACTGCTCTCCGATTAATTTTGTTCCGTATCGCATGTACCAAGCTTTAAACCGGAAATGAGATAAACAGGAAATGAAACGTGCCTAAATTCTGATTGGTTAAGATCGGCCTCTATTCCAGAATCAACTAACAACCATAACTTTTGAAATACATTCTGTGATGTCGGTTTATGGGCATACTACTTCAGATTCTGGTTTTGTTTATCAAGTCTATTCCTGGAGAGAATTCACGACTGACGTTGTAACCACATATTCCGGGATATTCCGTCGCACGCGACAAACACGAAATAATACAGTAAGCAATATTTTCTTCACCTGTGCTATAAGGAGTGGACTAAACACATTGACGGTGAACTGTTCTAACATGTCACTGTTTGTGATATTCCCTAAATATTGTTTCTTGTAAGCGATGCCGGCATTATTAACGAGCAGATTGAGACCCTCTTCAGCAAGAACACGCCGTGTGACGTCATATACCCCCTGTATCTCGTCCAGTCTTGTGACATCTGCAGGCAGAAACGACACTAGTAAGTAATATGACGACCTGTTGATAGATTCATAAAGAGTGTTGATGAATAAGTGTCATAAAACACATTTCAAAGGTCTCATCAGTTTAAAAGCGGGACAGGTTTTAAAGAAGGACTGTTTATTTATATGTCACACGTAAAGAAAGGTTCGAAAACCTGCATTTAATTTCATAATTGTGGTTTTTCTAAACTTGATAATTTTGCCCATGATTTATCTATTTAGATTTCCTTTTTGTGTTTTATGAGAGTTATTCATCTACAAGGTTTCAAACAAATACCTAACCAGATTTACAGTGGGGTCGTTTTACCTGTGCAAGGGTGACCGGTGCGACAACGTTGGTTGTGTACACTGACGTCATCAGTTCCGGGGTGGTGTCCGCGAAGCCAGACCGAAGATGTATAGCAGCATTACACACTATAAAGTTAAGACCTTCACCTTCTAGCATCGAGGAAATGTTCTCCTTCAAGTTATTAAAACTATTGAAGTCGCATACGTCTGGGAGGGAAAGAAATGACGTTCTATCAGAATATTTAAAACTAGAGGTTCCTTATTCTAACCACTGACAACTAGTTTCAGTGTTGTTGACTTTAAATAGGTAAACTTGTGACTTAATTTATCAATTCTAGACATGGGATAATCAAATCAGACACAAGTTGTTACAACTAACCACTACCTTCTTCCAGTGTAGAATACGTCACAGTAATTAATTATGACATCAGGGTCAATACACACAGAAGCTTATATCTAACTTTCCAGACTGTCACGTGCTGGTTGACCAAGGCAGATACATAAAGTTAGATAGCAGATAGAGTGAGCATAAACTGAGAGTCTCGTGAAATTCCTGCACTCTATGGATCAAGACTATAGAAAACAAGACCACTCGGCGAATCCCTGCCCCCTTCCCCTACCGACACATCACCACCAGGGTCAAGTCATACCCCAAGTATGAAGTTCCGGTGACTAGCTGTGAAGGAAAAGCCAGAAATCTTTTTTTCTTATATGTAGGTCAAAGGTCAAAATGTTGATCAAAGTGATATATGCCTCACTATTATGAACCCATACAATTGTTAGATTGTGGGTCAGAGTGGCCTACTTTGATACACGATATACTGCCTCAACATGATGATACTATACACTCACTACCTATGGAACTCCACAGACAGGTAGTGTGCGAAACAGAGTCTGGCCAAAATTCTTTGGTTTAGGTCAAAGGTCAAAATGTAGGTCAAAGTGACATACTTTGGAGACTTGACACACTGCTACACCAAGGTCAACACATAACCTAAGTAACAAATTCTCGTGACTAGTAGTGAAGCAGATAGACAAGATAGCGGACGGAAGGACGGATTGACACAAAGCGAAACTATCTTTCATGACAGAAAAATGCAAGATTAGAGTAGGCTTATTATAATCAGAAAATCTAAATGCCATCAAACACAATTTTGTTTCCGATATTTTCTATATTTATTCATTGAACCCATAAGATTTTGTAATATTAGACTAAATAATGTCTATCTTTCACATTCACATATTTATACTAAAAACGGAGTAGACTGAACATCTCTGTATCCAGAGACATTTTCAGGGTCACATAGATTTATACTTGTGATGAAAGGAGAGCAATTAAATCGACATTTGAGTGACATGTCATGTTTTCACATAAACCTAAAAGCTTAACACTAGGGCCGATTTAATAAAAAGTAGCGTATAAAACGACTTGTTATCAGCAGCGCACAGACATGTACCTTATCAGTCCCTTTAGATGTGATGACAGCAACTGTAGAAAGAATGTTAGTACACTTGTCAAGGACGGGGTCACTTTAACGGACATTACGTTCCTGTGAATCTCAATTTATTTCTTGTTTATACGGTTTTTCGTTTATTCGAGTTCAATGGGATATACACAAAACAAAAGAGTTCCCCCGTTTTTAACGAAATGTCTCCCTGTCTGTCTCTATCTACACACAATAGCATGTTACCGAGAACGTTTGTACATACCCAATTTCATAACCTTTACACAGGAGTGCGACTTGGCAACTTCTTGAAGAGACTGGAAAGACAAAAAAAATTCAGGGTTTACTTACCCGGGTAACATAATATAGACATCTAAAGCGAATGTGGGTCATAGCAGTAATTTAAGATGTACGAGGTGACCACGAATTTTAACTCTGACCGGGGTCAAGATGTCGAACTCCACGAAAAATTAACCAAGTGGATACTGAAGTACAGACCGTGGCTGTATCCGGATTCCGACATGTTGCAAACAAATATTTTGGTGGCGTAGCAAAGCAGACGATCTGTTTGACAAATTCTAATCCGAGACCTCTGTTGGCACCAGTGATAAGAACAGCACGAGGTGCAATCGACATTCTGCTTGTGTAACGTCTTCCGAGAAGATCTGTTAGTATTTTAGAGTTATCCCCCTTGGACCGGATTTTTTTTTCAAGGCCACATCATAAGCGCTACTCGCGTCTGTTAGTCCATATTTGTTGAGCTATTTGTGTACATGTGTCTGGAGTGTGTAAATCCTTGTAGATAATACATTGAGCTTAACATAAAAATGGCCAGCTGTAATAATATATAAGATTTTGAAGACCACTGTGGATACAAACATCATTTCCTACCATTTCTACATTTGTGTGGAGATTTCATCCCATTGGTTTTAACACCAACAGCGAACGTCATGTAGATAAAATAAAATCTGTAAACAAGTGTGAATATACTTATCCATAGCGAAATAATTCATTACCTCTCCCTAGGGTTTAGAAGGGAAATTCTTCTGTCATATCTATGACGTCACGTCATGGGTGGGAAGCTTTGGGATAAAAACAAAAAAAAATTTTAATTCGTAGGGCATGACAGATTCTGTGCCAAAAAGGAGCGAGTCCAAACGTTTGTAGTGCAGTGTTTTTGTTGAACAATGTGTGTGATACGATCTGGATACTGACTCTTTCTCAAGACACAGAAAGGGTTTATATGCTATTTTGAACAAAGATGAGTGACCCATAAAAGATGAATGATCAAGGTAGCCAGACTGAACATGTCAAACCTATTAGATATAATGTCGTAACACTGGTACCTTCAATACTTAGTTATATGGCATAATTACCTAGAACAACATGTATTTCTACCATGTAAACATGCTATTCTTTGGCATATCGACGACAAGATTTTGTATGAGAATTCTCACACATAACTCATATTCATATTTTCTAAATATGACATTGTACTGATATATTTTGATAGTTTAAGATATATTAAGAAGTTATATATTATGGTTCAATCATATTAATACACGGCGTTTAACAGTATTCAGTTCAGTCAAAAATTGATCTTTAAATTCTTCTGATGAAATCTAATACCGGAGCAAATTAACAATTACGTGTTTCAATCAATACGTGTATGACTCTCTGGTACCAAGCTTTACTGTGTGTAATACATACACAGAATTGTAAATATCTGCTCTGTATGATTAACATAGCAAACAGAGTTAAGATCTTCAACACCTAAAGATGCTGGTGACATTACTAGTAACCATTGATTTACTTAAGCTTGTTATTAGAAATCAGAAAACCTTTGGTTGGATACCATATCTTATTCTTTGACTACCGAGGTTTTGTTAAAAATTGATAATCAGTGTGATCGTGACTAGCCTTCCTCACAATCAGGAACAGCTGTTTGCTGAATTACGAAATCTGTCTACCCTATCAAACAGGTAAGTGGTCATGTGCTACTCGTACCAATAGCACATTTTTATGTTGTTGTTACTGACTCACACCGCCGGAATCACGTGAGAGTGACTGGCCTATATAAGGAACTGTAAAAATTGTGCGAGCAAGAAGACTCCAATAATCACAGTTATGAACATGTTGGCATTGATAAGTTTTGTTGGTCTCATCGCACTGAGCTTTGGATCGAAATGTTGTTCTCCTCCACAATGGGACCGAGGCGAGCATATAGAAGGGGTAGAGGTAGTCAACGGAACGATGTCTCTTTTCCAGGTATGTCCTTTAAATTATGACGTCACTGTTTATGATGTTACCACTTTGACGTTATCGATCAAGGGTTTTTATGGCGTTAACAACTATGACGTCATTGTTTATGAAGTGACGTTATCGTAATGACGGCGCCATCAGCCAAAGTTTTAATGTCGTTTACCACTGACACTACGTCATCTCTTGGTAATTCAGTTGTCTGTAATACGTGCTTTAGAGTTCCACTTAAATGATTCTTTATTTCAGTAGTATATTCGGAGCTATTTTCACAAACTGAAATATAGTACTCATCTATCTGTATTACGGTGGTTTAGATACATGAGCTTTCCTTGTCCTGTGTGGCCCCTTATTATTTCATTATATGTGTAAATACAGTCATGTATTGCTTGCAGTGATATACACGATTTTTTCGATTTACGATTTGTAAACTTCTGTGGTATCAATGTATTAGCAAGAAATTTGTCTTCAAATGTAATTGAAGATTTTTCCAAGTTCGATCTCGTGTTTTCTCCTCCTCTTTTGGATAACTTTACCATTTGATCTGTTTTCGTTCTGAAATAAGGGATGTCATGAAGCTCAAACAGAAACAACTTTCATTATCATTTTAAGGATTCGATGAGGAAAGGTATTTTTATCACATGATTATGATATGGCCAGAATATTTATTCAAAATTTGAATAATTGATAAAAGTTTATTCGCAACCAACTTCACCGCGTTCAGATTTTAATCCACTGTATGGCTGCTATATCTTATTTCATATTTTTAGCGGAAGGTGTTCTTCACCTGTGTGTCTTTTGTACAATTTTTGTATCGGAAGGTGTTATTCACTTGTGTGTCTTTTGTACAATCTTTTTAGCGGAAGGTGATATTCACTTGTGTGTCTTTTGTACAATCTTTTTAGCGGAAGGTGTTATTCACCGGTGTGTCTTTTGTACAATCTTTGTATCGGAAAGTGTTCTTCACTTGTGTGTCTTTTGTACAATCTTTGTATCGGAAGGTGTTCTTCACTTGTGTGTCTTTTGTACAATCTTTGTATCGGAAGGTGTTATTCACCGGTGTGTCTTTTGTACAATTTTTTTAGCGGAAGGTGTTATTCACTTGTGTGTCTTTTGTACCATCTTTGTATCGGAAGGTGTTATTCACTTGTGTGTCTTTTGTACAATCTTTGTATCGGAAGGTGATATTCACTTGTGTGTCTTTTGTACAATCTTTGTATCGGAAGGTGTTATTCACCGGTGTGTCTTTTGTACAATTTTTTTAGCGGAAGGTGTTATTCACTTGTGTGTCTTTTGTACCATCTTTGTATCGGAAGGTGTTCTTCACTTGTGTGTCTTTTGTACAATCTTTGTATCGGAAGGTGTTATTCACTTGTGTGTCTTTTGTACAATCTTTGTATCGGAAGGTGATATTCACTTGTGTGTCTTTTGTACAATTCTTTTAGCGGAAGGTGTTATTCACTTGTGTGTCTTTTGTACAATCTTTGTATCGGAAGGTGATTTTCACTTGTGTGTCTTTTGTACAATCTTTTTAGCGGAAGGTGTTATTCACTTGTGTGTCTTTTGTACAATCTTTGTATCGGAAGGTGATTTTCACTAGTGTGTCTTTTGTACAATCTTTTTAGCGGAAGGTGTTATTCACTTGTGTGTCTTTTGTACAATCTTTTTAGCGGAAGGTGTTATTCACTTGTGTGTCTTTTTTACAATCTTTTTAGCGGAAGGTGTTATTCACTTGTGTGTCTTTTGTACAATCTTTGTATCGGAAGGTGATATTCACTTGTGTGTCTTTTGTACAATTTTTTTAGCGGAAGGTGTTATTCACTTGTGTGTCTTTTGTACAATCTTTGTATCGGAAGGTGATTTTCACTTGTGTGTCTTTTGTACAATCTTTTTAGCGGAAGGTGTTATTCACTTGTGTGTCTTTTGTACAATCTTTGTATCGGAAGGTGATTTTCACTTGTGTGTCTTTTGTACAATCTTTTTAGCGGAAGGTGTTATTCACTTGTGTGTCTTTTGTACAATCTTTTTAGCGGAAGGTGTTATTCACTTGTGTGTCTTTTTTACAATCTTTTTAGCGGAAGGTGTTATTCACTTGTGTGTCTTTTGTACAATCTTTTTAGCGGAAGGTGTTATTCACTTGTGTGTCTTTTGTACAATCTTTTTAGCGGAAGGTGTTATTCACTTGTGTGTCTTTTGTGCAATATTTGTATCGGAAGGTGTTATTCACTAGTGTTTCTTTTGTACAATATTTGTATCGGAAGGTGTTATTCACTAGTGTTTCTTTTGTACAATCTTTTTAGCGGAAGGTGTTATTCACTAGTGTTTCTTTTGTACAATATTTGTATCGGAAGGTAATATTCACTTGTGTGTGTTTTGTACAATATTTGTATCGGAAGGTGTTATTCACTAGTGTTTCTTTTGTGCAATATTTGTATCGGAAGGTAATATTCACTTGTGTGTGTTTTGTACAATATTTGTATCGGAAGGTGTTATTCACTAGTGTTTCTTTTGTACAATATTTGTATCGGAAAGTGTTATTCACTAGTGTTTCTTTTGTACAATATTTGTATCGGAAGGTGTTATTCACTAGTGTTTCTTTTGTGCAATATTTGTATCGGAAAGTGTTATTCACTTGTGTGTCGTTTGTGCAATATTTGTATCGGAAGGTGATATTCACTTGTGTGTCTTTTGTGCAATCTTTTTAGCGGAAGGTGTTATTCACTAGTGTTTCTTTTGTGCAATATTTGTATCGGAAAGTGTTATTCACTAGTGTTTCTTTTGTGCAATATTTGTATCGGAAGGTGTTATTCACTAGTGTGTCTTTTTTACAATCTTTTTAGCGGAAGGTGTTATTCACTAGTGTTTCTTTTGTGCAATATTTGTAGCGGAAGGTGTTATTCACTAGTGTTTCTTTTGTGCAATATTTGTAGCGGAAGGTGTTATTCACGTGAGTGTTTCGTACAATGTTTGATTGCGATCATTTCTTTTGGAAATTTCTAACAGAAGAGTTGTCTTTATGAGGTAATGGCCAAGGCTGGTCAAAAGGTTCTTGGTTCTTAAGATTCCACTGTATAAAAATTCCCCTTCTGCAGTCATATTATCCCTATAAGGAAGTGACCCTGATTTGATAGTGCTCTGTATGGTACTAGCCAGCAATAAAATGATATAGGCACATAGATAATTGTTACTATAAGTGTAGGAATCCAAAACAAACAAGAAAGGTCCGTATCCTTATTATAAACCGGAAATTTTAATGATTGTAAACCGGAAATCTGAATGGTTATAAACCGGAAAGCTGAATAACTGTAAACCGGAAATAAGAATGACTGTTAAAATGAAGTATGTTTAGCTGATATTTCACCTTTTAGAAGTTAGAATATATATACTTGTGAGTTTAAATGTCAATTGAATATTTCATTCCCGTGTCTTGTCAATTTGATGGAAATGATCATTTGTATAGATTGATAAACGTATTATCAACTTTCTTTTATTCCCTCGATCATTTACACAGGGAACAGCGCGGACAGCATATGATGCAAAGAATCACAAGTTTATGACTAAATTCACAATGATGAGAGGCAAGAAACTAGAGAAGAAGCACATTTTGAATGACTACTCAGCCGTGAGTATACAAGATGGCGCCACTGGACAGAAACGTTTATTGCATGTTTGTGATATCATTTGCTGATTTGTTGGTGCCCTAAATGTGTCCATGATTCATATTCTAATTCATTCTTTTAACATTTGTTGACTCTCTTACAACTTTCATTACTTTTATTTAAGATATTAAAACTTATGACCCTAAACATTCCAGATGAGGCCTAAAGGATAAAACACAAACTGATGTAGTTTTGATAACTTTAGATACGTCTTTGAGTCCAATATTCATAGATCTCTTTAGATTGGTAACAAAATCAATCTTACCTTCTTAATTGTGACCAAATTCTTTGTGTTTTATTCATGGTATATTATGCGTTTTAATATTTTTGATTAAATAGGGGATGAAATATTCCGTGACAGATGGTGTGTGTACGAAATCACAGCTATCAGGACCCTTCCCCGAGGCTTGTGTTCCAGGTATATTTTGTTAATTTTCATGACGGTTCTTTGGAAATTAAAAAAAATATCACAGCATATTATGAAACGTTTTCTCGGAGTTTATGTGTATATACTAGTTGCACAACCAATTACTTTTTCTTTCGTCTAGGATGGCAAAGTGACACAATCGAGATTCAGAAACGAAATCTCTGTGTTGTAATATACTAAAACATACTATAAAATCCTATTCAAGAAATCAATTAGCGACACATTATATCTGGCCATTGATCGTATATTTAATGTTTTGAAAATCAAGCAAATAAAAACTTAACATGTTTCACGTGTTCTTGTTCACGTGTTGTGATTATAAGTAACTGTTTATATTAATGCATTTAAGTCGGAAGTGGTTTGGGGCATGGCTGCCTGTGAAGGCGCATTTGCTTGCAGAAGGAGTTTGGGAATGCCTGTGTAGGCGTACTTTCAGGAAGAATTGTGGATTGCCTGTGAAGGTGTACTTACAGGAGGAATTGTGGGCTGTATGTGAAGGTGTACTAACAGAAGGAGATGGAGACTGCCTGTGAAGGTGTACTTACAGGAGGAGTTCGGGGCTGTCTGTGAAGAGTACTTGCAGAAGGAGATGAGGGCTGCCCATGAATATGTACTTGCAGGAGGAGATGAGAGCTGTCTGTGAAGGTGTACTTGCCTGCAGGAAGTGTTGGGGACTGCCTGTGAAGGTGTACTTGCTTGTAGGAGGAGTTGGGGGCTGTCTGTGAAGAGTACTTGCAGAAGGAGATGAGGACTGCCTGTGAAGGTGTACTTGCTTGCGGGAAGAGTTGGGGACTGCCTGTGAAGATGTACTTGCAGAAGGAGATGAGGGCTGCTCGTGAAGATGTACTTGCAGGAGATGAGAGCTGTCTGTGAAGGCGTACTTGCTTACAGGAGGAGTTGGGGACTGCCTGTGAAGATGTACTTGCAGAAGGAGACGAGGACTGTCTGTGAAGGTGTACTTGTTTTCAGGAAGAGTTGAGGGTTGTCTGTGAAGGTGTACTTGTTTGCAGGTGTACTTGTTTTCAGGAAAAGTTGAGGGTTGTCTGTGAAGGTGTACTTGCTTGCAGAAGGAGTTGGGGACTGCCTGTGCAGGTGTAGTTGCAGAAGGAGATAAGAGCTGTCTGTGAAGACGCACTTGCTTGCAGGAGGAGCTGGTCATTGCCTGTGATGGTGTACTTGCCCTACATTACTCATATACATGAATGAAATATCGAACTAGTCTTTGTAAGATGATCTCGATAATCTTACAACGACGCCTCAACCGTTTATCTGGTGTATTTTGGGGATATTATGTCGTCATGAAAATCATACTTTAGATGAAGCCTCGGGCGGTTGTCCAATGTGTTATGACAATGTTTAACTATTTAACAGATGAAGCCTCGGGCGGTTGTCCAATGTGTTATGACAATATTTAACTATTTAACAGATGACGCCTCGGGCAGTTGTCCAATATGTTATGACAATATTTAACTATTTAACAGATGACGCCTCGGGCGGTTGTCCAATGTGTTATGACAATGTTTAACTATTTAACAGATGAAGCGTCGGGCGGTTGTCCAATGTGTTATGACAATATTTAACTATTTAACAGATGACGCCTCAGGCGGTTATCCAATGTGTTATGACAATGTTTAACTATTTAACAGATGAAGCCTCGGGCGGTTGTCCAATGTGTTATGACAATGTTTAACTATCTAACAGATGAAGCCTCGGGCGGTTGTCCAATGTGTTATGACAATGTTTAACTATTTAACAGATGAAGCCTCGGGCGGTTGTCCAATGTGTTATGACAATGTTTAACTATTTAACAGATGAAGCCTCGGGCGGTTGTCCAATGTGTTATGACAATGTTTAACTATTTAACAGATGAAGCCTCGGGCGGTTGTCCAATGTGTTATGACAATGTTTAACTATTTAACAGATGACGCCTCAGGCGGTTATCCAATGTGTTATGACAATATTTAACTATTTAACAGATGAAGCCTCGGGCTGGTATCTAATGTGTTATTATAATATTTAACTATTTAACAGATGACGCCTCAGGCGGTTATCCAATGTGTTATGACAATATTTAACTATTTAACAGATGACGCCTCAGGCGGTTATCCAATGTGTTATGACAATATTTAACTATTTAACAGATGAAGCCTCGGGCGGTTATCCAACGTCTTATGACAATATTTAACTATTTAACAGATGAAGCCTCGGGCGGTTATGACAATGTGTTATGACAATATTTAACTATTTAACAGATGAAGCCTCGGGCTGGTATCTAATGTGTTATGACAATATTTCACTATTTAACAGATGAAGCCTCGGGCTGGTGTCCAATGTGTTATGACAATGTTTAACTATTTAACAGATGACGCCTCAGGCGGTTATCCAATGTGTTATGACAATGTTTAACTATTTAACAGATGACGCCTCAGGCGGTTATCCAATGTGTTATGACAATATTTAACTATCTAACAGATGACAATATTTAACTATTTAACAGATGACGCCTCAGGCGGTTATCCAATGTGTTATGACAATATTTAACTATTTAACAGATGAAGCCTCGGGCTGGTATCTAATGTGTTATCATAATATTTCACTATTTAACAGATGACGCCTCAGGCTGGTATCTGATGTGTTATGGCAATGTTTATCTATTGAACAGATGAAGCCTCAGGCTGGTATCTAATGTGTTATTATAATATTTAACTATTTAACAGATGACGCCTCGGTTGGTTTTCCAATGTATTTTGGAGTCGGTGATAATAAGATCGAAGTAACAAACTACGTACTGGTCAGTCCCAACAGGGTGACGTCATTACTGGTCTCAGAGAAGTGTGTTCCCTTCTCTAATTCCACGACGAGCACAGAAGGAGAAAGTGAGTGGTAACAATGTCTGATGGGGCTCCCAGTTATATAACAATTACAAATCAAGGTAGACCTTTAAAAATGCAGTTTACCTGTTGAGGACAACCTCAGTGGAACAGAAGTGTGTCTTATTTAAGTAGAAAAATTCTGATAAATTCTTTTCATGAAAAAGGGATACAAGGCATGATAGTCGTTTGATGTTTCGCCTACTGTAATGGATTTCACATTTATAGGGAAATCAACAGTTATTCGTCCGTTTTGATAAAATGAGAAATGTATAGAATACATGCTTGAGTTAAACAACATACCCTGACTTTTCCAGCTCCGTTTTCTGTTTCTATTGGATATAATGGGACAACACTTGGTATTTCTGACCCCTCCGTCTTCGATATTCCTCCTGAATGTTCTCATGATGACCACACCGTCACAGGTAAATATAGATCATGACACCTAAACATTAGAGCCATTACGTCAGAGTCACAACTAAATATAACTAATATGTCACACTCTCAAATGAATATTCATGTGTATTACGTCACAGAGTTAGAGGTAAATATAAGTACTACGTCATACCGATATATATATAGCGATATAGAGACACCAAACATCCCAGATTTAGCTTGGTTGCTACAGATAATATCGATGTGATAATTTGACAGGAATCAATTCATTCCTGAGTACAAAATTACATATATCATCACTAAAATATGAAATTTGCTTCATTGAAGATAAACCAGCAAGGACGAATTCTCAAGTATGCTGTTTCCCTAAACAGTCAGAGTCACCAGGTGGTCTGGTGGGTTTGGTAGATGTGAACGGCAAAACGATGATGCAACAGGTACAATGAATGTGTGTACTGTTACAGTATGATGAAGCAGTGTACTGTTACAGTATGATGAAGCAGTGTACTGTTACAGTATGATGAATGTGTGTACTGTTACAGTGTGATGGATGTGTGTACTGTTACAGTATAATGGATGTGTGTACTGTGACAGTATAATGAATGTGTGTACTGTTACAGTATGATGTATGTGTGTACTGTTACAGTATGATGAATGTGTGTACTGTTACAGTATGATGAATGTGTGTACTGTTACAGTATGATGAATGTGTGTACTGTTACAGTATGATGGATGTGTGTACTGTTACAGTGTGATGGATGTGTGTACTGTTACAGTATGATGAATGTGTGTACTGTTACAGTATGATGAATGTGTGTACTGTTACAGTATGATGGATGTGTGTACTGTTACAGTATGATGAATGTGTGTACTGTTACAGTATGATGAATGTGTGTACTGTTACAGTATGATGAATGTGTGTACTGTTACAGTATGATGAAGCAGTGTACTGTTACAGTATGATGGATGTGTGTACTGTTACAGTATGATGGATGTGTGTACTGTTACAGTATGATGACTGTGTGTACTGTTACAGTGTGATGACTGTGTGTACTGTTACAGTATGATGAATGTGTGTACTGTTACAGTATAATGACTGTGTGTACTGTTACAGTATGATGACTGTGTGTACTGTTACAGTATGATGGATGTGTGTACTGTTACAGTATGATGAATGTGTGTACTGTTACAGTATGATGGATGTGTGTACTATTACAGTATGATGAATATGTGTACTGTTACAGTATGATGGATGTGTGTACTGTGACAGTGTGATGACTGTGTGTACTGTTACAGTATGATGGATGTGTGTACTGTTACAGTGTGATGAATATATGTACTGTTACAGTATGATGAATGTGTGTACAGTTACAGTATGATGAATGTGTGTACTGTTACAGTATGATGAATGTGTGTACTGTTACAGTATGATGGATGTGTGTACTGTTACAGTATGATGACTGTGTGTACTGTTACAGTATGATGGATGTGTGTACTGTTACAGTGTGATGGATGTGTGTACTGTTACAGTATGATGAATGTGTGTACTGTTACAGTATGATGTATGTGTGTACTGTTACAGTATGATGGATGTGTGTACTGTTACAGTATGATGTATGTGTGTACTGTTACAGTATGATGGATGTGTGTACTGTTACAGTATGATGAATGTGTGTACTGTTACAGTATAATGAATATGTGTACTGCTACAGTATGATGAATGTGTGTACTGTTACAGTATGATGAATGTGTGTACTGTTACAGTATAATGAATATTTGTACTGCTACAGTATAATGAATATTTGTACTGCTACAGTATAATGAATATGTGTACTGCTACAGTATGATGGATGTGTGTACTGTTACAGTATGATGAATGTGTGTACTGCTACAGTATGATGAATGTGTGTACTGTTACAGTATGATGAATGTGTGTACTGTTACAGTATAATGAATATTTGTACTGCTACAGTATAATGAATATGTGTACTGCTACAGTATGATGAATGTGTGTACTGTTACAGTATGATGAATGTGTGTACTGTTACAGTATGATGAATGTGTGTACTGCTACAGTATAATGAATATGTGTACTGCTACAATATGATGAATGTGTGTACTGTTACAGTATGATGAATGTGTGTACTGTTACAGTATGATGAAGCAGTGTACTGTTACAGTATGATGAATGTGTGTACTGTTACAGTATGATGAATGTGTGTACTGTTACAGTATGATGACTGTGTGTACTGTTACAGTATGATGGATGTGTGTACTGTTACAGTATAATGAATGTGTGTACTGTTACAGTGTTATGAATGTGTGTACTGTTACAGCATGATGAATGTGTGTACTGCTGCAGTAGTTTTTTTTTGTCGCCTGCAGAGCTGGTAAACACTTAGGGATCACTTTGTCCGTCGTCACGCGTCGTCGTGGTCGTCATCCGTACGAACGTTTTCCGAACTTTTTTTCGGTAATGCTTTGAGTTATCAAAATGAAATTTGATGTATTGCTTTTTGTTGCAAGGGTACAGATTTAGTTTGATTCCCGTCTGTATGTGACCCTTTTTGGCAGAGTCATTCCCCTTTCAACTCAGAAAATTTCCTGGAAATATTGTTTTCCGGACTTTTTTGGCTTATGCTTAAGTTATCGAAATGAAATTTGGTATATGACTTCTAGTTGCAAGGGTACATATTAAGGTCGATTCCCGGCTGTCGGTGACCCATTTTGGCAGAGTTATGCCCCTTTCAACTCAAAAAATTCTTTGGGAATATTGTTTTTCAGATATTTCCCAATTATGCTTTAACATAATGAAATGTTGTATATGGCTTCTTGGTGGAAGATTACAGATCGAGTTCAATTCTCAGCTCTCTTTGACTCTTCCTGACCCATTGAACTCAAATTCTTTGGGAATATTATTTTTTGGAATCTTCTTGGTTATGCTTCGAGTTATGAAAATGCAATTTGGAAATGAGTTCTTGGTCAAAAGTTACGCACCGAGTTCGCTTCTTCGCAGTCTGTAACCCTTCTTTGCAGTGATATGTCCCTTTGAACTTTAAAAATTTCTCAGGAATACTGCTTTGCGCAGTTTTCCCATTATGCTTCAAGTTATAGAAATGAAATTTGATATTACAACTTTATGGTTGATCGTTGCACATCCAGTTCAATTTCTGGGTGACCGTGACACTTTATGCAGGCGACACATACAGTTCCGAGGAACTCTTGAGTATGTGAAAAAAAACACATGAAGATTTTTTTCGGATTTTTGATGTTTTGTTTTCATTGATAGACTACAATAATGATGTCAAATGACGCCATCAACAAAAAGACTGTTTCAAGAACAAATACTACAGTTGGAAACTATTCGACAACTTACTCAATAGAGCTGAAGGATTACGCTGAGGTAAGTCAATTCTCTTAGCGTATCAAGACCAGGTTTTGTTTGAGCTTTGGGTCCAAATCTCAGTACACGTTCTACCTCAGATCAGCATTAGTTGCGTTGTAAATTCTAAATGAAACATATTCTATTCCTAGGGAGAATTCCGATTCTATTTTATTGTTCTCCAGCGTAAAAAGTAAATCTTCGAGAAGTAAGACAATAGTAAAATCGAGTCTTTATCTGATGTCAGTCTGTTTTATATATGTACCGTAGAAAAAGAGAAATGAACATCCATTTAAGTACTGTGTTTAACATTATCATTAAGGGAATGATGTACGAAGTGAAAAATGGTGTTTGTACAAAAACTCCTTTGAGAGGACCTTTCCCAGACATGTGCACGCCAGGTACGTAGTAGTCTGTACACATATGTATGATGTGTATTGATGTACCCTGTATGATATGTATTGATGTATCCTGTATGATCTGTATTGATGTACCCTGTATGATCTGTATTGATGTAACCTGTATGATATGTATTGATGTACACTGTATGATATGTATTGATGTACCCTGTATGATATGTATTGATGTACCCTGTATGATGTGTATTGATATACCCTGTATGGTGTGTATTGATGTACACTGTATGATGTGTATTGATATACCCTGTGTGATGTGTATTGATGTACCCTGTATGATGTGTATTGATGTACACTGTATGATGTGTATTGATGTACCCTGTATGATGTGTATTGATGTACACTGTATGATGTGTATTGATGTACACTGTATGATGTGTATTGATGTACACTGTATGATGTGTATTGATGTACACTGTATGGTATGTATTGATGTACACTGTATGATCTGTATTGATGTACCCTGGGTGTATTCTGTATTCTTGTACCCTGTATGATCTGTATTGATATACCCTGTATGTTGTGTATTGATGTACCCTGTATGGTCTGTATTGATGTACATTGTATGATCTGTATTAATGTACCATGTATTGATGTACCCTGTATGATCTGTATTGGTGTACCCTTTATGATCTGTATTAATGTACCCTGTATTGATGTACACTGTATGATCTGTATTGATGTACCCTGGGTGCATTCTGTATTCTTGTACCCTGTATGATCTGTATTGGTGTACCCTTTATGATCTGTATTAATGTACCCTGTATTGATGTACATTGTATGATGTGTATTAATGAACACTGTATGATGTGTATTGATGTACACTGTATGATGTGTATTGATGTACCATGTATGATATGTATTGATGTACACTGTATGGTAGGTATTGATGTTCACTGTATGATCTGTATTGATGTACCCTGGGTGTATTCTGTATTCTTGTACCCTGTATGATCTGTATTGATATACCCTGTATGATGTGTATTGATGTACCCTGTATGGTCTGTATTGATGTACACTGTATGATCTGTATTAATGTACCCTGTATTGATGTACACTGTATGATCTGTATTGATATACCCTGTATGATGTGTAATGATGTCCCCTGTATGATATGTATTGATGTGCCCAGTATGATGTGTATTGATGTACCCTGTATGACGTGTATTGATGTACCCTGTATGATGTGTATTGATGGTCCCTGTATGATCTGTATATATGTACCCTGTATGATCTGTATTGATGTAACCTGTATGATCTGTATTGATGTACACTGTATGATATGTATTGATGTACCCTGTATGATATGTATTGATGTACCCTGGGTGCATTCTGTATTCTTGTACCCTGTATGATCTGTATTGGTGTACTCTTTATGATCTGTATTAATGTACCCTGTATTGATGTACACTGTATGATCTGTATTGATATACCCTGTATGATGTGTAATGATGTCCCCTGTATGATATGTATTGATGTGCCCAGTATGATGTGTATTGATGTACCCTGTATGACGTGTATTGATGTACCCTGTATGATGTGTATTGATGGTCCCTGTATGATCTGTATATATGTACCCTGTATGATCTGTATTGATGTAACCTGTATGATCTGTATTGATGTACACTGTATGATATGTATTGATGTACCCTGTATGATATGTATTGATGTACCCTGTATGATGTGTGTTGATGTATCCTGTGTGTATTCTCTATTGATATACCCTGTATGATCTTTATTGATGTACCCTGTATGATGTGTATTGATGTACACTGTATGATGTGTATTGATGTACACGGTATGATGTGTATTGATGTACACTGTATGATGTGTATTGATGTACCCTGTACGATCTGTATTGATGTACACTGTATGGTAGGTATTGATGTTCACTGTATGATCTGTATTGATGTACCCTGGGTGTATTCTGTATTCTTGTACCCTGTATGATCTGTATTGATATACCCTGTATGATGTGTATTGATGTACCCTGTATGGTCTGTATTGATGTACACTGTATGATCTGTATTAATGTACCCTGTATTGATATACCCTGTATGATGTGTATTGATGTACCCTGTATGGTCTGTATTGATGTACACTGTATGGTCTGTATTAATGTACCCTGTATTGATGTACCCGGTATGATCTGTATTGGTGTACCCTTTATGATCTGTATTAATGTACCCTGTATTGATGTACACTGTATGATCTGTATTGATGTACCCTGGGTGTATTCTGTATTCTTGTACCCTGTATGATCTGTATTGGTGTACCCTGTATGATCTGTATTGGTGTACCCTGTATGATGTGTAATGATGTACCCTGTATGATCTGTATTGTTGTTCCCTGTATGATATGTATTGATGTACCCAGTATGATGTGTATTGATGTACCCTGTATGATATGTATTGATGTACCCTGTATGATGTGTATTGATGTACCCTGTATCATATGTATTGATGTACCTTGTATAATCTATATTGATGTACCTTGTATGATCTGTATTGATGTACCCTGTATGATGTGTATTGATATACCCTGTATGATGTGTATTGATGTACCCTGTATGATCTGTATTGTTGTACCCTGTATGATGTGTATTGATGTGCCCTGTATGATCTGTATTGGTGTACCCTTTATGATCTGTATTGATGTACACTATATGACCTGTATTGATGTACACTGTATGATCTGTATTGATGTACCCTGTATGGTATGTATTGATGTACACTGTATGATCTGTATTGATGTACCCTTTATGATCTGTATTGATGTACCCTATATGATCTGTATTGATATATCCTGTATGATATGTATTGATGTACACTGTATGATGTGTATTGATATACCCTGTATGATGTGTATTGATGTACCCTGTATGATGTGTATTGATGTACACTGTATGATGTGTATTGATGTACACTGTATGATGTGTATTGATGTACCCTGTATGATCTGTATTGATGTAAACTGTATGGTATGTATTGATGTACACTGTATGATCTGTATTGATGTACCCTGGGTGTATTCTGTATTCTTGTACCCTGTATGATCTGTATTGATATACCCTGTATGATGTGTATTGATGTACCCTGTATGGTCTGTATTAATGTACCCTGTATTGATGTACCCTGTATGATCTGTATTGGTGTACCCTTTATGATCTGTATTAATGTACCCTGTATTGATGTACACTGTATGATCTGTATTGATGTACCCTGGGTGCATTCTGTATTCTTGTACCCTGTATGATCTGTATTGGTGTATTCTGTAATGATGTACCCTGTATAATCTGTATTAATGTACCCTGTATGATCTGTATTGATGTACCCTGTATGATGTGTATTGATGCACCCTGTATGATATCTATTGATGCACCCTGTATGATCTGTGTTGATGTATCCTGTATGATCTATATTGATGTACCCTGTATGATGTGTATTGATGTACCCTGTATGATGTGTATTGATGTATCTTGTATGATCTGTATTGATGTACCCTGTATGATGTGTATTGATGTACCCTGTATGATGTGTATTGATGTATCTTGTATGATCTGTATTGATGTACCCTGTATGATGTGTATTGATGTATCTTGTATGATCTGTATTGATGTACCCTGTATGATCTGTATTGATGTACTCTGTATGATCTGTATTGATGTACCCTGTATGATGTATATTGATGTACCCGGTATGATCTGTATTAATGTAACCTGTATTGATGTACCCTGTATGTATTCTGTATTGATGTACCCTGTATGATCTGTATTGATGTACCCTGTATGTTCTTTATTGATGTACCCTGTATGATATGTATTGATGTACCCTGTATGATGTGTATTGATGCACCCTGTATGATCTGTATAGATGTACCCTGTATGATGTGTATTGATGCACCCTGTATGATATCTATTGATGGACCCTGTATGATCTGTGTTGATGTATCCTGTATGATCTGTATTGATGTACCCTGTATGATGTGTATTGATGTACCCTGTATCATATGTATTGATGTACCCTGTATGATCTGTGTTGATGTATCCTGTATGATCTGTATTGATGTACCCTGTATGATGTATATTGATGTACCCTGTATCATATGTATTGATGTACCTTGTATGATCTGTACTGATGTATCTTGTATGATCCGTATTGATGTACCCTGTATGACGTGTATTGATGTACCCTGTATGATCTGTATAGATGTACCCTGTATGATGTGTATTGATGTACCCTGTATTGATGTACCTTGTATGATCTGTATAGATGTACCCTGTATGATGTGTATTGATATACCCTGTATGATGTGTATTGATGTCCCCTGTATGATGTGTATTGATGTACCCTGTATGATCTGTATTGATGTAACCTGTATGTTCTTTATTGATGTACCCTGTATGATCTGTATAGATGTACCCTGTATGATCTGTATTGATATACCTTATGTGATGTGTATTGATGTACCCTGTATGATCTGTATCGATGTACCCTGTAATGATGTACCCTGTATGATCTGTATTGATGTACCCTTTATGATCTGTATGGATGTACCCTGTATGATGTGTATTGATGTACCTTGTATGAAGTGTATTGATGTACCTTGTATGATCTGTATTGATGTAACCTGTATGATCTGTGTTGATGTATCCTGTATGATCTGTATTGATGTACCCTGTATAATGTGTATTGATGTACCCTGTATCATATGTATTGATGTACCTTGTATGATCTGTATTGATGTACCTTGTATGATCCGTATTGATTTACCCTGTATGACGTGTATTGATGTACCCTGTATGATATGTATTGATGGTCCCTGTATGATATGTATTGATGCACCCTGTATGATCTGTGTTGATGTATCCTGTATGATCTGTATTGATGTACCCTGTATGATGTGTATTGATGTACCCTGTATCATATGTATTGATGTACCTTGTATGATCTGTATTGATGTACCCTGTATGATGTGTATTGATGTACCTTGTATGAAGTGTATTGATGTACCTTGTATGATCTGTATTGATGTACCCTGTATGATCTGTGTTGATGTACCCTGTATGATCTGTATTGATGTACCCTGTATGATCTGTATTGATGTATCCTGTATGATCTGTATTGATGTACCCTGTATGATGTGTATTGATGTACCCTGTATCATATGTATTGATGTACCTTGTATGATCTGTACTGATGTATCTTGTATGATCCGTATTGATGTACCCTGTATGACGTGTATAGATGTACCCTGTATGATGTGTATTGATGTACCCTGTATTGATGTACCCTGTATGATCTGTATTGATGTACCCTGTATGATCTGTATTGATGTACCATTTATTGATCTATCCTGTTTGTTAAGATTTGATGTTATCTGTATGCTTCATGCATTTTGAAATATTCTGTATGTTTTGTCCAGCTGACGCCACATTTAAGCCTGTCCTCTTGGGCACTGGTAACAGTACATTGACAGGAAGAATGTATAACTACATGATCGCTGGTGTAAGCATGACAATATTCATGACAGAGGATTGTGTCCCTATATCCGAGATGCTGAGTGGACACGCTGGACCAACAGGTACGGATCTGTTAGATAAAATGTTAGCTATCTAATAGAGTGTTCTTTGGGAATCAGCGCTGTGATGTAGTATTGCATTTAGTACAGATGTATATACTTTTATAGATTTACTGACTTATGTCTTTCTTTATAGATTATTGGTATACTGTGGGATATTCTGCGATGACCCTTGGTATTAAAGACCCGTCTGTATTTGACGTACCTGCCAGCTGCAGACAATTGGTAAGGTCATTTTTTTTACCTTTCTCCTGATGAGGGGTTAGCCCGTAAAAACGGGGGACTAATCAAGAAGGAATATCTAAGGAAAAGACGAAAAGCATGATCCACTCATTTATTTATTTTAATTGATTTTTTTTTGTTTAGTTTTTTAAATTAATGGGTTTTTTTAAGTTTATCGACTTAGAGAATAATATTATCATATTTGTGATATACCTTTATATGATAGATCCACTAGTCTAGTCATGTCTCTGTTGACATAGTATACATATATTTTATACAGGTCAGTCACCCGGACCCAGTCGTGCAGGTCGGGTAGTCAGTGTACCTCATAAAACCACTCAACAGTCATTCCAAAAGTCAAATCCATCGTCATTCCGAAACTTAACTCCAACTTCATTCCAAAAGTAAAATCCAACGTCATTCCAAAAGTAAAATCCAACGTCATTCCAAAAGTCAAATCCAATGTCATTCCGAAACTAAATTCCAACGTTATTCCGAAAGTCAACTCCAACGTGATTCCAAAAGCCAACTCCAACGTGATTCCAAAAGTCAACTCCAACGTCATTCAAAAGTCAACTCCAACGTCATTCAAAAGTCAACTTCAACGTCAATCCAAAAGTCAACTCCAACGTCAATCCGAAAGTCAACTCCAACGTGATTCCAAAAGTCAACTCCAACGTCATTCAAAAGTCAACTTCAACGTCAATCCAAAAGTCAACTCCAACGTCATTTTAAAGGTCAACTAAACCGTCAGTACAATTGTCAACAAAATAGTCCTGACAAAAGTTCAGGCTTAACTGTCGAAGAATACATCAAGTACAAAAGTCACTGAAGCCGTTATATCACAAAAATCAACTCAATAAGCCGTCATAAAAGTCAACCTATAGTCACTACAATGTCACCTGAAAGCATACCTGTTAATAAAAATACTGGTTTGAATGAATAAAATTATAAACCAAGTTCAATGTGTGTGTGATTTTGTAAACTATCGGTGTATCGGAACAGAAAGGTTGTCTGAGAAAAATAAGTCTACAGTTGATTGAAGTACTAGATGAACCTATGCGACATACTTTATTACACAAAGTGTTATGATACGAGTGCAGTTTAATCTTTCACTGAGTTAAGTAGCAGTAGGCGATAAAACTGCCTAAGAAGGAATGTTTTCATGCTGTATTAATTTTGTGTCGGAGGGGTAAACAATTAGAGACAATGAAACCCTCAGTATTACATTAAGTCTTTAACAAAAATCAGATCTTTTCGGCATTCAAGATGGCCGCTAAAATAACCATATTGAAAACCTCTAATTTCAACCTCTCCTAAATAGACGGTACTACAGACACTGAATAACAAGAATCAAATTTAAACTCACAAATATCTTACTGTGTTTACCTAGACCTATTGATGGTTACTCTCTCTCCGTTTTTATAACTTCTCATAGTTAACACTACAGATACAGGTTTATATAACAGTGAGTAGGTCCTAAACAATGTCAGACCAAAGAGATATTCAGGAGGGTCTTTGAAGAAGTCGCCAAAACTATTCAGTAATGTATTATAATGTAGGGAAGGACCTTCGTTAGTATTTTGAATACAGGGACTGGTTGGTATTTGGCCTGACCAATAAATCGGATTCATGTGACATGAACGATGGCCGTCTTGGAAATGAGTGTTATTACTACTGGAGTTCGGATTTCCACCAATGTTTTTGTTTCGACCAAAACTGTCACTATTGAATGCTATTTGTCTTACAAGCGGTCTTAACTAGAATTCCATCCCCGCCACAGGAGCCTCTTACACGCAATTCAAATAACACCGTAATGTAAGAGCCAATCTTACCTGTTTCTTTGTTCTATAAATAAGAGACATGCGTTACAGCCGAAAATAAATATACTACTCTTCAAAGTAACATACTGATAAAAGTCTGTTCAGTTTTTGTATGTAGGAGAATGTGCAGGTCTGGGAACGAGTGATGCAAACATCGTACTGATAAAAGTCTGTTCAGTTTTTGTATGTAGGAGAATGTGCAGGTCTGGGGACGAGTGATGCAAACATCGTACTGATAAAAGTCTGTTCAGTTTTTGTATGTAGGAGAATGTGCAGGTCCGGGGACGAGTGATGCAAACATCGCCAATTTAGACAAACTTTGCTACCTTCAAGGCTTCCATTTGTTGACATCTTATAACAAAGCTCATAGCCGTAGACAATATATAAAATGGTATCACTTACATGTATCTCACATGAAAGGGTTAACCAAACCTGATAAAAGTACCTCTGGCTGGTAAAATGTCAGGTTTTCTTATTGTCGTTTAGAGTCAATAAAAAAGAGACGTTATGAAAACATTAAAACGAGACAGGTATAACAATACCTTCACAATATTCAAATATTGTAGAATAAGTGAGCTATAATGATATGCAAGTATCAATAAGACAAGTACACTAGCACTTCATCTAGATTTAACAAATGTCTGTAAAATAATGTATTTTACTTTGAGAAGAACAAGTTGTCCACAATAAAACTGAAGTCACCGAATAGTGTCTCATGTGACACTTCATGAGTCCAGATGCACTAAGTAATAGGGTTGTTTTCAACAATTTAAATCTAGATGTTCAATGTGAAATTAATAAAAAATTCTTATAACATAACCAGTTGAAGATTAAGGTGTGACGTTACGATGACTACACGGTCATCCTCAACAGACAAATGACCCATGGTGTACGAGATGGTAAGGAATCGACCAACATTTTCGGCTGTACAATATAATTCAATGTACAATAAGGTCGACAATACTTTGAGGAGATGGTAAATAGATGCTTTACTGTGTGTAATACAAACACATGATGTTTCAACCAATATGTTTATTACCTCTGGTACCAAGCTTTACTGTGTGTAATGCACACACAGGATGTTTCAACCATTAGGTGTATTACCCTTTGGTACCAAGCTTTAATGTGTGTAATACATACAGAGGATGTCTCAACCAATACGTGTATTACCTCTGGTACCAGGCTTTACTGTGTGTAATACTTACACAGGATGTGTCAACCAACACGTGTATTACCCTCTGGTACCAGGCTTTACTGTGTGTAATACATACACAGGATGTGTCAACCAACACGTGTATTACCCTCTGGTACCAAGTTTTACTGTGTGTAATACATACACAGAATGTTTCAACCATTAGGTGTATTACCCTTTGGTACCAAGCTTTACTGTGTGTAATACATACACAGGATGTCTCAACCAATACGTGTATTACCTCTGGTACCAGGCTTTACTGTGTGTAATACTTACACAGGATGTGTCAACCAATACGTGTATTACCTCTGGTACCAGGCTTTACTGTGTGTAATACTTACACAGAATGTGTAAACCATTAGGTGTATTACCCTTTGGTACCAGGCTTTACTGTGTGTAATACTTACACAGGATGTGTCAACCAACACGTGTATTACCCTCTGGTACCAAGTTTTACTGTGTGTAATACATACACAGAATGTGTAAACCATTAGGTGTATTACCCTTTGGTACCAGGCTTTACTGTGTGTAATACATACACAGGATGTGTCAACCAATACGTGTATTACCTCTGGTACCAGGCTTTACTGTGTGTAATACATACACAGGATGTGTCAACCAATACGTGTATTACCTCTGGTACCAAGCTTTACTGTGTGTAATACATACACAGGATGTGTCAACCAATACGTGTATTACCTCTGGTACCAGGCTTTACTGTGTGTAATACTTACACAGGATGTGTCAACCAACACGTGTATTACCCTCTGGTACCAGGCTTTACTGTGTGTAATACATACACAGAATGTGTCAACCAACACGTGTATTACCCTTTGGTACCAAGCTTTACTGTGTGTAATACATACACAGGATGTGTCAACCAATACGTGTATTACCTCTGGTACCAGGCTTTACTGTGTGTAATACTTACACAGGATGTGTCAACCAACACGTGTATTACCCTCTGGTACCAGGCTTTACTGTGTGTAATACTTACACAGAATGTGTCAACCAACACGTGTGTTACCTCTGGTAGAAGCTTTAATGTGTGTAATACATACACAGGATGTGTCAACCAACACGTGTATTACCCTCTGGTACCAGGCTTTACTGTGTGTAATACTTACACAGGATGTGTCAACCAATACGTGTATTACCTCTGGTACCAGGCTTTACTGTGTGTAATACTTACACAGGATGTGTCAACCAACACGTGTATTACCTCTGGTACCAGGCTTTACTGTGTGTAATACTTACACAGGATGTGTCAACCAACACGTGTATTACCCTCTGGTAGAAGCTTTAATGTGTGTAATACATACACAGGATATTTCAACCAACACGTGTATTATCCTCTGGTACCAAGATTTACTGTGTGTAATACATACACAGGACGTTTCAACCAATACATGTGTAGCGGGGGACATTATGCCATGTTTTATTTTATGTGATGTAAAGCTGTCAATGCTTTATTTTTTTAGTCAGCTTTATACAGGTGTCCGTGTGTCATGTCCACTTTAGTGTATGTATCCTGTTTACCCGTGACCCCTTCATTGTTTTGTCCTGTCACCTGTTACCCGTTTTGTCGGAGGTCTATGTATATCACGTGCATGTTCTCCTGTCTTGTTTTCCTTGCATTTTCGTCCGTGTCTGGGTGTTCTGTCTCTGGTGATGTGTTGTGATTGGTTCAAACTGATTCAAATTGTCATTTTAGGGTATAAGATGCAGTATGTCTAATAATTTGGGTGCAGAGCGTTGGATTAACTTCCACAGGGTGAAAACCTTCTCTGAGGTAGGTCTGGTTAATTAGATATCATTCGGGTGGGAAGGTATATAGCGGGATGGAATAGTGAGGTGTTGGGTAGTAGGTAAGTTTATGTTTCGGTATAGATGGGGATGTTGTTGTGTCTGTTAAATAAATTGTTAAATTGAAATTAGCAGTGTTTGTCCTCCTTCGAAAATGCAAACGGAACCCATCGAACCTGGGTTGACGGTGATATAGGGCACCGGGACCGGGTAACTGTTGACCCCCCTTTCTCTCCTGTTACACATGTATGACTCTCTGGTACTAAGCTTTACTGTGTGTAATACATATACATAATTGTAAATATCTGCTCTGTATGATTAACATAGCAAACAGAGTTAAGATCTTCAACACCTAAAGATACTGGTGACATTACTAGTAACCATTGATTTACTTAAGCTTGTTATTTGAAATCAGAAAACCTTTGGTTGGATACCATATCTTATTCTTTGACTACCGAGGTTTTGTTAAAAATTGATAATCAGTGTGATCGTGACTAGCCTTCCTCATCATCAGGAACAGCTGTTTGCTGAATTACGAAATCTGACTACCCTATCAAACAGGTAAGTGGTCATGTGCTACTCGTACCAA